TGTGTGTGTGTGTGTGTGTGTGTGTGTGTGTGTGTGTGTGTGTGTGTGTGTGTGTCTGTATGTGTGTGTGTGTGTGTGTGTGTGTGTGTCTTTGCGGATGTGAGAAGAAGAAGAAGAAGAAGAAGATTCTCACCTGTGGTTGTCTGAAGGGCAACGCTGCAGGCACAGCCAAGGGGCAGGAGTTCAGTGCCAATGACGCCAAGAGAATGCTGGCACAACAATGCCAATGACGAGATGACAATGATGCGAGGATGATGACAAACGCATGATGATGCCGATGACTAGAGTGGCGCAGAGCATCAGCTGTTCAAAGCCCGGGTAGCCTGTTCTTCACAGTTTTTTTGCAGCCTGATCTAGGCCGCTGATCTTTGAAGGTTATCAGCCCAGATCAGGCCGCAAGAAAAAGGGCCTGCCGGTCTCCAGTAAGACCCAAAACGTTTTTGGGGGCATTCATCGACCCTTTAGGGGCTCGACCCCTGAGATGGCCCAATGTGTCATTGCCAACCATGATGGTATGCTAAGTTGTCCATGCACAAACACATGTTTATGTTCATTGACGGCAGTTGTATGTGTAATCATGTCATCGCAATGTGTCCATCCCTGGTTGTTTTTGTTTCCTACAATATGTATTGTAATTTATAGTTTTATAATTTATTACATTGACATTAAAATTAAAAGGGCCTTTACCCGATTCAGACCCTGAATGACGAATGCAGCATAATGGGGTCACTCGGCCAGAACCTAACTCGTGAAAAGCAGATCAAAAGACATGTTCTCTGGGTCAAAAGTCACATCTTAACTAAAGTAAAAAGTCATGTCAAAGGTCACAGTTGTGCCCCTGGACGAACAGTTGCAGTATGCAATTGTGGGAGTCACATCTGTTCATCCAGGGGGTGTGCAAGTCATGTTTGTTCGTACAGGAGATGTGTCTGTTCGTGCAGTAAGTGTGTCTGTTCATAAAGAAATCAAAGAGATAAGGTCCCAGTCCAGATTCAAGTCAAAGGGAAAGTCTAGATACAGATTGGAAGTCCGAAATTCAGGCCTGAAGGCCGCCGCAGCAGCAGACCTTGAGGATAAGGAACTGGGACACACTCCACAGAGGCATGGGACTGGGAAAGGACCCAAGAAAGACTGAATTCAGACCTCGCGAAGGGAGGCCAGCACTATAAAAGACTAGGCCAGCCTCCCTGCACGACAGATTCCCCATTGGCATTGATGCGTGGAAGTGCTGTGGCACTTGTGCGCTAGAGTGCAGGGAGAGGGCGCTGGCTTGATAGCTGCGCCAAGAAGGAGAGGTGCTGCGCGCTGACTGGCAGAAGCAGCCATAGCTGCACCAGCTATATTAGTAGAGATAGAAGGGTTAGTAGTAGGTATCGGTGAGTAGCATTCAAAGTAGATTCTCGTAGATAGGGAGTGTGCATGCATGGTGAGACGAGAGAACTAGGACACAGATTTTGAGAGAGAAGAGAGAGAGAGAGAGGACAAGTTCCTAAGTTGGATATGGTAGATACTTACCTGCTGGCGCCATACCTGTGATCTGAGGAGAGACACTGGCTGAGCCAGGCCCTTTGGTGACGAATGATTGAAGAAGACTTGTGATCTGTTTGGCGCTGGACTCTTGAACTCAAGATACTCTTTATATAATGTGACTTTGACAATATGAGCTGCGCTATCTGGTTCTCTTTCCATCTCGCCTTGGCTTTATATGGGACTACTTCATCTGTGTGATGACACTTACGCATGCACTGTGAACACTCCAGCAAGCTGTGAACAGTCAGGTTCCTCGCAAAATTGCTACTGGTCATGTAGCTGATGTCTAAATATTCTTCATTTCTTTTTCTGTGCGTGTGTGTGTGTATGTGTGTGCCCGTGTGTGGGTGTTTGTGCATGTGTATGTGTGCGTCTGCACACCATGTGATGATAATGCAAATTGTACAGGCCAACCGAGAAGGACCCATACTTGGGCACTTGGTGTGCAAACCCTCAGTTTGTTGTGGATGTGTCAAAGCCATGCACAGCAGTGCTGTCATTGCTACAACAAGATACACGGATCAAGCATGCCATGCGTCCGAAGGACAAATCTCAGCGCAGATTTTTGATCAGCTTTGTTGTCCTCAAGGTGTGTATTGATCAAAGAGGGTCTCTCTCTCTCTCTCTCTCTCTCTCTCTCTCTCTCTCTCTCTCTCTCTCTCTCTCTCTCTCTC